CAGTCATAACTTCATATCCGGAGCTCCGTTTGAGGCGTGTAATATATCGTTGGAAAGGTCTTCAAGTCTAATTTCCAATGCAATTTGAATCACTCTATTATCATTTGTATATCAAAAGTTATGAGCATAATAGTGCACAGGTGTCATATTTGTCAAGTATTTCATCAACGTTTTGCTTCATTTCCACTCAATTACTCCGTTAATCCTGAAATACATCAAAAACAACGAAACTACCCATAAAAGCATCGAATCATCGAAACTAAACCAAATTACACCAAAATGGACTAAAACACTCGACTAAGCTAATAAAACCAACCAAAAATAAGCTAATAAATATGCACAAAACACGACTTATCAGGACTGGGATGTGTTTTGATGCAAAGTCGAAGGGTGATTGCGTATGCTTCAAAGCAATTGAAACCGCACAAAGGGAATTACCCAACCCATGATTTGGAGTTAGCTGCAATAGTGTTTGCTTGAAGATTTGGAGGCATTATTTGTATGGGGTGACTTGTAGGATTTTCACGAATCATAAGAGTTTGAAGTACATTTTCACCCAAAAGCATTTGAATGGGAGGCAGAGAAGATGGTTGGAGTTTCTAAGTAATTATACGTTGGATATTCAATATCACTAAGGAAAGGCTAATGTGGTGGTACATGCGTTAAGCCGGAAGTCTGAACATTCAGTGAATGTGATGGTAGTGCCAGATCAGTTATGTGTGGAATTCCAGAAGTTGAATTTGGAAGTGATGGAGCATGGAGAAGTGACTAGGATGTTGAATGCCTTGGTGATTCAACCATCCATTTATGATGAGATAAGGGAAAGTCAACTGGAAGCTGAGAAGTTAAAGGCGATTAAGAAAAAAATCGATGAAGGTCAGGTGTTGGATTTCACCATTGGTGATGAAGGATCAGAAGTATTCGTTTTAAGGGAAGATGGTGTGTACCGCAGAGTCGTGGGGGTTTAAAGCAGAGATTGATGGAAGAAGCCCATAATTCTCCTTATTAAATGCATCTTAGAGGGGATAAGTTGTATAAGGACATGAAAAAGACTTTTTGATGGCCCAATATGAAGAGAGAAGTAGCTGAATTTGTGGCCAAGTGTTTGACATGTCAGAAAATGAAAATCAAGCATCGTAGGCCTCAAGGAAAGGTCCAATCTTTGGAGGTGCCCAAGTGGAAGTGGGGCTCGATTTCTATGGATTTTGTTGGAGCGTTGCCTAAGACCAAGGCAGGGAATGACACTATTTGGGTAATAGTGGACAGGTTAACGAAGTCAGCATCATTTATACCCATGAGAAGTACTTGGACTATGGATCAGTTGGGAAAAGCTTATGTGAAGTTCGTGGTGAAGTACCATGGGTACCCACAGATATCATTTCAGACAGAGATTCAAGATTCCTGTCCACATTTTGGCAAAGTTTGCAAAAGGCGATGGGAACAAAGTTGTTGATGAGCACAACATTTCATCCTACGACGGATGGTCAGACTGAAAGGACAATTAAGAAATTGGAGGATATGTTGAGAGCTTGTGTGATCGAGTATCAAGGGTCTAGGGAAGACCACTTGGATTTGATAGAGTTCTCTTACAACAACAGCTATCATGCAAGCATTAAAATGGCACCAATTAAAGCTTTGTATGGAAGAAGGTGTAGAAGTCCAGTTTGTTGGAATGATATAAGTGAAACTATGGTACTTGGGCCAGAGATGGTTGAGGATATGGTGAAACAGGTGAAGTTGATCCAAGAAAAGATAAAAGCAGCCCAAGATGACATAAAAGTTATGCTGATTTGAAAAGGAGGGAGGAAGAATATGAAGTAGGAGAGAAAGTCTTGCTGAAAATTTCCCCGTGAAAGGTGTAATGAGGATTGGTAAGAAGGGAAAGTTGAACCCAAAGTACATAGGGCCATGTGAAGAAGGGATCGGACTTACTGTTGGGAACTTCAAGTTCGTTGAGGAACTTGAATTGGAGATAGAGTCTTTAGCTTGTAATAGGTTGATTTCCCTATTCAAGTAAAGAATATTTCCCAAAATCCCAAGTGGTCGTGGTTTTTCTTCTTGTTAGAGCCAAGAAGTTTTACACGCTAAAATCTCTTAGTGTGACTTTGAGTTCCATTAGCTTAGTTTTTATATTCCACAAAAAGTTGGCTAATTCCCTTCGTATTACAATTCACCCGCCCTCTTGTAATATTCTTCTAAAGTAACATAGTTACTGATTAATACTTTTTCAATAATAAATTCACTTTTTAAATAATACATTTACATAATCAGTTTTTAAATGATATAATCATATTTGATATGATATAATCACATTTAAAAAAAAGTTAAACTGTATAGCTGATAGATAAATATGGGAGTATATATCAATATATCATTTAGTCACAATAGATTTTAACAGAAAAAGATAAATATACTACAACATACATATAAATTCATGGTAAGATATAATTTTGTGAAAGATATGATATACATGGAATAAATACATTTTAATAATCTTAACTATAGGCGATTTACTTCTAATACTCCCAATTAAAATTTATTTTTCAATAATTCTAACTAAATGTTCAAAAATATAGGCGTGGTGCACCTATTTTAGGTGCACCATGGTGTACCTTAAAATTTGCGTAGGTTCGGTTTTCGTATGACGACTTTTAGCAGATTAGAACTTTTAGTCGGCCTAACCGCATAAATTGGTTGAAATGAGCTTATGTTTGGGCGACAACCCAGTCTGTTCAATTATCATAAAGTGTATACGCATGTTCAAGTGTAAATTTGTTAATGGAAATTTAAAACATCATTAACTTGTAACTGTTGTAAATTTATATGAGTTACTAGTCTTACTATGGAGTAGTTACTACTATAGTACTATAATAATTACAAAATAAGTACTTATAAAATCACGGTTCAATCTTTATTTTATCCATTAGTAGTAGTTAGTTAATTCGGCTATCAATAAATTTTAGAATTTCAAATATATTTTTTTTTGAAAGTTGGTTATCAAGATCAAGTAATAGAAAATGTCCTTTCTCGATTTTTAATTATTTTTTTTTATAAATAATTCTTTGATGTGCCATACAAGTTTAGAATATTGTGTGAGTGCGCTATTACATTAAATCTAAAATGGATGTTAGACGGAATTTAGGGATTTTCAATTCATGTTCATAAAGATATCATTTTACACAATAATGTTGAGAATGAAATGGAAAGGTTGATAACAAAAAGTTACACAGTATACGTTATAAAAAAGTTAAGCTAATGAATAGGTATAGGATAGGAGTATAATTTAAAATTATATACAAGTAGATATTTATAGAAAAAGATAAATATACTACGAAAGTACATATGAATTCATGGTAAGATATACTTTTGTGAAAGATATGATTTGTGTTAGGATATAATTATGTTGTGAGATATATTTTGTGTATATATTTGTATATATCTTGTTAGGAATTTTTGGCTTGTTAGGTTAATGTTGTAAGCCTATATATATGTGTTTAATGGTAAAGGCTCATTAAGCCGTTTTCTCCTAAATTTCTTGTGAGTTTAACAGTATTAGTTCCAATCTCCCGTAATAACTTCAAATACTGACTCAATGGCGGAAGCATTGCCGGGTTTAACGATGGATATGTGGACAGAGATCTTAGCGAGGCTGCCGGTGAAAAGCTTAATGAGATTAAGGTGTGTTTGTAAAAGCTGGTGTTCATTAATTGATTCCTCTTATTTCAGTCTTTTGCATCTTCAAATTTACAACAACAAACCCAAGTACGCGATAGCCATGAACTGCGACAAAACTGCAGTTTATAGTATCGACACATTCAGAAAAATTGACGAAATATTTAAAACTCCTTTTAATTGTGAAGTAATATGCTGCGAATATGGATTAATTTTGATGTATGCGTTTTATGCAATTACGCCGGACGAGGTCGACGAGGATGAGATGGTATTTCATAATCCCTGTACTCGAAAGTCCTGGTCGATCCCCCGTTGTCCTTATATGACTTGGACATATCGGCTAGGTTTCGCTCCGTCTACTAATGATTATAAGGTTGTTGCTTTTGTTTATGATAATTCTTCGATAGTGGTTTATTCATCAAATGCTAACCTTTAGAGGATTAAAGATAGGTCGGATGCTCACGTTCGAGGCCTTTTAAGTTTTGAAGATGCGCATGAATTTTATTGTAAGGGTGCTTTGTGCTGGTTAGGCTTTGAAAAGGATAAACCTCCTGGCGTACATAATCATCTTGTATCGTTCGATTTTGATTCCGAGGAATTCGTCTTCGTGGATTTGCCTGATGCTCTTAAACAACCAGGTCTAGTTAAAATTAATTTTGTCCTTGGTGAGTCTGTAGCAATTTTCGCTATGTCTTCTCATAGTGCCTGCATATGGGTTTTGGTCGAGGATGGTGTAGATAAAATTAAATCATGGCGGCTTTGGTATACTGGAGATTCAAATTCAAAAGCTCACCGGTTTCTTACAAGAAGTTTTCGTACGGATATTTTCAATGTTGAGAAGAATACATTTATCTTTTCTTTTAGGAGTAATATATATTCTTATAACTTCAGAAGTCACCGGATACAACATTTGGAAGATGATTATTATAGCTATTTTGGCATTTATATGGAGAGCTTAGTAGTGCACAACCGAAACCAAAGGAAGATTTTGACATACCATAATGTGAATGGTGAAGAAAGTACAGAATTGGTCCGTGTTTAGACCAAATCTTTTACGGAGTACTCGTGTCAGTGTTTAATTTGCCTTTGGCTTTGCAAAAATAGAATAATAATAATAAATTCTATGATTTTCTCCTTATAATCGGGTGTTTTCCATGTCCTTGGTTTAGCTTATCTGGTTAGAGTCAGTACTACCAGTTTAATTTTCGTCGATCATATGAATGTCTGATGAACACAAAACATACAATATTCCGTACAATTTATATCTCGGTTGATTTCTGTATACTACGCTAATGTATGGTATAGAACGATGTATACTTGGCAAACAATTTATACCAAATAATATCAGCTAACTTTGGTAGACTCTAGCTTTCCTACATGATTGAGAGATATTGCTGACCTTTTTATGCTCAACTGTCTCGAAAACATAATTAATGTTCAGTTCACTTCCTCACTAAAATCTTACTTAAAAAGGAAGTAATCAGACCAACTGACCAATCAGATAAAAGGTAAAAGGTAAAATGGAACATGAGATATGAAATATCTCATGACACACCTAACAACCCCAGGTGAAACAATGCCATATATGATCTCATCTTTATCTGTTTTTTCACAACTATCCCTCAGTGTTTCTGCTAAAAAAACAGAACATGAGGTGTAAAACATGTGTACCTTTCATCCAAAAACACGTTGCGAAAGAAAGGAATATGCAATGCCAGCGCCAATATTTAGTTGCACAAGCTGAACTGAAGTTCGCGCTCTATGTTGCACTTGCTGTTCTCATGCTTTCCTATCATGCAGGTAATGCTCTGAGCTTGTATTCTTGTAAACACTGATAATTTTGCCAGAATAATGTTTATTTTATGATCTTCCTATCAACTGAATCTATTTGTATGTTTTCTTATTCAATTTATTCCCCAACATTACAGAGGCATATGATCCATTAGATCCAAACGGTAACATAACAGTCAAATGGGATGTTATGTCTTGGACTCCAGATGGTTATGTGGTAAGTACTGAATTTCTCATCTTGTTTAAGAAATCAACTTCTTAAACACAAGACATATATGTTGCACTTTTAACAGGCAGTGGTCACGATAAACAACTTCCAAATATATCAGAAACTGGGTCAGAATGCAAAGTCTAAACCTGATATGGATTTTTAAGGACATGCTGATCATTAAACCAAAGAGCTGTCGAGTCTTCGTCTGTGGGCAAGAATCCGCATGTAAACTCCTGAACTAAAGTCACCTTAATTTTGCTCTTCTTTTATCTTCAGTCATTGTTCTTATCTGCACTACTTATATTAAAACAAGAGCAATTAGTTCCATTTCTGAAGGTTACATGCACTACTTATATTAACAGTCATGAACTCATGATTTTATATAAATTATCCGTTAATTTAGAGATTACTAGCATAAAACAAACATAATCAGGTGCTTGAAAAAAAGGCTATACGTTTTCAGAAAGCCTTCCATAATTCAAGAGACTATAAATAGACATTACAAGATACCTTCATGGCTTAGCTCTTATATGGAGGATTTAATTTTATAAGAGGTTTTCTGATGAATAAATCATGGGTTAGTCACTTAGTCTTATGTATACCTGACATAAGAGTAATGAAGATGGGAGAAAAAATATGTTAAGCTAATTGCATTCAGTATTGCAGGTAAAAGTTCACTTTGCAACTCAAATCTCCTACAATTTTTCACCAACCAAACTACCATATGTAAACCAAGTCCGAACTTTGGTGAACCCGGTTGAACAAGCAATCAAATCAGAAGGGATGAAAATCAGTAGTTTCAAAGATGAAGACACTAAGATTACTATCTGGTATCTGGCTGGTCAGCAAGAACTGTATTCTCTGCATGACCTTATGTTCCCAGGGCATGGGAGTGCATCATTTTTCTTAGTTTTGTTGAGTATGTTCAGAAAACCGAGCAACAAAGAGATGAAAGATCCGGCTGAAATTGAAGAAGACTTGAAGTACTGGCTCAGATTCATCGTCTCTAATTCAAGGAGAGCAGTCCAACAATGCATGCTTCCGAATGTGACCATAGTTCTAAGAAATTACCAGGCAGGTTGATGCAAGACTCATTGAGCATGTTTCATCTTTGGAGGGCTTCACAACAGATGCAAAACGAAAATGGCAGACATTCTCGATGCAGGCTGAGAGTAATACGAATGATACTGTTCATTTATCAGCAGCTCAACATTGTAGCATGGAGTTGCTTTTACAAAAATGGTTGGTCTTCTGATCATCAATGGGCATGCATGTGTTCATTGTGGAATTGTATTTAGTCATTTATATATAATTTTTATTGGTTTTATCTTGCACAAAAATATTTGCTGACCTTTCTTTTATTCTTATTGAAGACAACTCATGAGTCTGTAAATGAGGAGTGCAGTAGTCAAGCTTCAATGATGGTATCTTTAGTGAGGTCAGTATTTGGTTACATATGCTATCAAGTTTTTGGGATTTTATTATTGATGCTGCTGCATATTGCATGCTCTGCCAGTCATGATTCTGGCTAACGTTTTTGATTAAGAGAATCACTATTGAGCTATCCAGTTTATTTTGTCGATGATACTATGTCATATATCATATTATCTATGTGCAGGAACATGTTAGAAAGCCTTGAGCAGCATGATTTCTCGACATACAATAACGATCGAAACACAAAACGATAGGCGCAGGTCTATGCTAGTTATTGAAAAAACCTTCTTCACAAAAATGTTAACATTTTCCAATAGTGTTCTTTCATATATATCAGTACTCACAAGTCACATCTTTCAGTATTTTCCACAAACGATTTTTTGGTAGTTAAACTAGTTATAAACTAGTCATTTTAATAAAAACTGTTAAACAAATAAAAGAAATATTAAAGGGCAAATTAAAGATTTTTTTAAAAATAAAAATTAAAATCAAGAAAGGGGATTTTCTAATTCTTGATCTTGATAACTGACTTAACTAACTACTATAACAAATAGATAAATTGAATATTAATCAGTTTGTATATATATTATGGTTTGGATACTAGTGACAACCAAGTACTAACCATTATAAATACCCTTGTACACTACCATTCTAATTCCTTTAATCTTCAACCCATTATCTCAAAATATGGAATTATGAACACCAAAAAATTTATTAAATAATGGACAAATTAAAGAAATTTATATCATAATTTGAAAACAATTAGAGTGTTTTATAAGCTTTCTCTATTTTTGTTAGATACTAATCACTTATAAGAAATATCTATCTCTTAAATAAAAAAATAAAAAATAAAAAAATCTTTATTGAAAAAAGGGGAAATCAAAAATTCAAGAAAAGGGTATTTTCTAATTCTTGATCTTGATAACTGACTTAACTAACTACAACAAATGGATAAATTGAATATTAATCGGATTATATATAAAATAGTTTGATTATAAGTAACAACGAACCAAACACTAACTATTATAAATACCCTTGTACACTACCATTGTTATTCATTTCATCTTCAACCCATATTTCAAACGTTCTGTTTTTCTCCTGATAACCCAACAAGAATTCCATCTTCAGAAATCAACTTAATTAGCTTGATTCCATTGCAATTCTTTCTTTAGTTCTGTTTTGCTGTTGTTATTAACTAGTAATGGCGGCTTCGAGTTCACGTGGAGGGAGAGGAGACGATTATACGATCATGGAAACCGATCCATCGGGGCAATACTCAAGATATAATAATGTGATCGAAGAATCTACGTCAAAAGTTGTATTCAAGGGATATGATAGGCTTAATGGGAAAGAAGTGGCTTGGATAAAGAAGACTGTTACAGAAAGTAGCTTTAGGGCTTTGGTGGCAGAATGTGATATGCTTTGCAAATCTAATTCTCATTATCTCTTGAAAGTTTTTAAGCATTGGATTGATTTACAGGATGGCGTTGCTGTACTCCATATGATCACCGAGTATTATTCTAATAATTTGGGGGAATATTGCAAGATTCATAAGATTTTGGGGGAACACAAAAAAACTTGCATTGCTAGGTGGTGTAAACAGATTTTGTTAGGCTTGCAGTTTTTACATGAACAAGATCTAGTGATTGTGCACTCTAACATAAATTTGAATGACATTGCAATTTCGGGAACTTCAAGCACTGTCAAGATAGCAGACTTGACTTCTGCAAAGTCTTTTCTGAAGTCTGATTCTGATTTGGATCATGTAAAAGAAGCACAATATTCCGAGTTGCGTTCTTTGGGACTGTGTGTACTTCTTATGATACGTGTTAGCAAGAAGTATGCAGATCCTATGAGGGCATTAGGTACAATAAACCCCCCAAAGCTGAAAGGGTTCGTTGACAGGTGTTTACGCTGTAAGGAACTGAAAGCTTCTATAGGTAATTTGTTGAGCAAAGGGTTAATGCAGTCAGTTACTATACCTGTTCCTGGTGTCCGAGCTCATGTGCTTAGATTACCCGCACCGCCTCCTACTGATGATCCTACGAAAAAAGTACTCATAGGAAAAAGGGTGGGCAATGAACTGTCTGTGACACTGAGGAGTATTGATGATGCTGAAGTTTTGCTCACACTCAGTATTGATACCCTTCCAGAAATGGACGGATTAAGAGGCGAATTAATTGGCATGTCAGAGGAAGACATCCGTTGGATGGTTCAAGGGGCTGAACAGGTCATGTCTGAATTTAACGATGAATTAATTGAGCCTATTGCAAATGTACACCATGACTCCGACACTTCTGAAGAAACGATTAGACGGCATGCTGATGTTTTCAACTTGGATGATCAGGAAGCACTTGCAAGGTGAGACGTCTGATGGGAGTGATTAAGATGAGGGAAGTGGCAACAGGAAGACAGAATATAGTTGCTTCAGAAATCTGTTATATCTTGGCATGTCAGTAGCTTATTTCTGGATTCGTCAGTTTAATTGGATTCATCAGTTTAATTGTTTAGTACAAAATTAGAGTTTGGTTTATGTCATAGTACAGAAATGTTCTGAATAATTCTAGGTATGTTAGTGATACTTAGTGTGTCAATAAGTATGAGTTCTCAGTATTAGGTCCAACGAACTGAGATTAAGTTCTTTTATTTCTTATTTGATCGATTTACATTTGTAAATGTGTGATTTACATATATGAACATTGGTAAATTTAGTTGTAAGATTTTAAAAGTTTGAGATTATGCAATTTGTTTTTCTTTTTTTACAAGTATATGTACCACCTCTTTAATTTTTAATCCTCTCATCTCGTTAGTCTATAATTAACTAATTTGAGAGTGATTGACCAAGAGCTTTAGGAGTTCATTCAGAAGTGTGTAGGTGGTGTAGATGTCAGACGTACTGCGATTGAGCTCTTGAATGATCCGTTTCTTGAACTGAGTATTGAGGATCCTAGCATGTATTTAAGACTAACTAGTATAGTGGAATTCCCGCCTCCTGGCTCGAGTGATTAGAGGCTAAGACCAGTACTGCAATATGAAAGGGAAATAGAAAAGGTAATTGATGATGACAAAGGAAATAAGAAATTTGGATTGAAAGGAAAAGTGAAGGACCGCAAAATGATACACATGGACTTCATAGATTATGATCATAAGAGGAATAAGTTTGATTTCTCACTCGAAACTTGTACAATTCTGCAAGTCATGGAGATGATCAAAGAAAAATTTGGCTGGTCAGCTGAAAATGCTGCATCAATTTGTCAGAGTATGGAACAACTGATAACAGAATTTGTGCCTATGAAAATATTAACAATGACAGTACACAGCTACAATCTCTGAGAATGCTCCGAATCATTCGAATATATCTACCGAGGAAACTTCTGGTGGCGGTCGAAGGACACATGAGACATCAAGAATCCAACACTGCCGCCAAGGCATGAAGCAGAAGCAGAAGCAGAGGTGGATATGTTAATGTCGTAAGACAAGTAATTAGGATGAGGGAAGTGAAGTGAAAACTGGAAGACATAACATAGTAAAAAGTGTCAATGTCTTAAATTAACTTGTGTTAATTGCTTGTCCTAACATTATAATTATTTTACTTATTAATTTAAAGCCAACACAGCAGCCTTGTTATCCATCTGAATTTGCAGGAATCCCCATTCACCTTTCCAGCTCAATAACATACTCAGCCTTAAATGAGTTGCACACCCAAAGCTTCATAGCATATGCATGCCGCATCTTCCTTGTAAAGCATGTCTATAGGGAAGGCAACAGGACTGCTGACTGGCTGGCAAACAAGGGTATCTCTCAAGGAAATCAGATTGATCTCATTCAAGCCCACCCCCCCCCCCCCCCCCTTGGCCTTAGGCCGTTAATTCATGATTAAGCCTTTGCTGGAATTATGTTTACACATTTTGAATGATATAATTGACATCATACTATTCAAAAGAGGAATCTTGTACCTTTACAAGGTATGGATGGATACAAGTAGGTATTTTTTGAGTTTTGAACCATTATTAAAATTAAAGCAACTACAATAATTAATCGGGTGATTTACCTAGAATAATCCCAACTAAGGATTATTATATAATAATCCCAAGCCAACTTTGGTACTTGTTAAATGATATAATTATCTTTCGAATAATATGATTTGTTGCCCTTGATGTTTTGATGATAACACAAGTCAAACTTATGATTGGACTAATGTCTTGATAAGTTGTGTAGTTTGATAAGTCAAAGATTGCAGAGCTATTCGAGGCAAAGGAACTGGAGCTTACAGAAACAGAAGATTAGTAGCAGTGTTCCTTTGAAGGAACAGAAGCTCTGGAGAAGAAGTGGGAGAATGAAGGCTTGGAGCAGAGACTTCCTAAGAGAAATTATAAAGTCTAAAGTATTTTATATTTAAGGTTTTATGTAAGTGAAAGTAATTTGAAGTTGGATGCTTAGTAGAATGCGATTAAAATTGGTTTTAGATAGAATTTAAAGATTGCTGAATTATAGGGAAGTTTGTTATTGAAAATATCTTTATCTGATTTGATCTCAAATTAATATCTTTTATTTTCGAAAAAAATATCTTTCAAAAAGCTTGCATAACTGATCTCCTAAACTTCCGCAACTAATGTTGATTAAGGGCCCGGCCTGTTCACTTCAGTTTAATTTCAGTTCAGTTTAGTTCAGCTCCTATCAATTTAGTTCAGCTCCTAATTTCCCTAATTCTCTCATAAAATATTCATTTCAGCTTTATTTAGTTCAGTTCAGTTCAGCTCCAATCAGTTCAGTTCAGCTTAGTAAATGGGTGAACAGGCCCTAAGTCTTCTCCACTTAATAAAGAAACTACTTCAATGAGGCTCAACGTGCCCTGGGTTCTAGGACATGTTTGAAACTCTGGAAGTGGTGGAGATTAGTGGCGTTGATGTGCAGCAGTAGTGGCGTAAGTAGTGGAGGTTGTGGCGTTTTGATCAAGCTATATTTTCCAATAAATATCGAAGTTGTTTTCTGGAAAAACATCACCCTTGCTCAATCATATTTTCTATCTTCTTTGTTTTTTAAAAGAGTCAAGAGTCGTATTCTACTTTAAGTTGATAACTTTCTTATTTTCTTTCATTAAAGTATTTCTTTCAAGAGTTGTAATTGGGGATTGGGAGTTTGAGTGAACTCTAGAGAAGTCAGAAGAAAAAGAGTGAGAAGTGAAAAAGAAGAGAAGAGCAACATGTTGAGGAATCGGACTTACTGTTGGGAACTCACGTTCGTTGAGGAACTTGGAGATAGAGTCTTTAGCTTGTAATAGGTTGATTTCCCTATTCTAGTAAAGAATATTTCCCAAAATCCCAAGTGGTCGTGGTTTTTCTTCTTGTTAGAGCCAAGAAGTTTTACATGCTAAAATCTCTTTGTGTGACTTTGAGTTCCATTAGTTTAGTTTTTATATTTCCGCAAAAAGTTGGCTAATTCCCTTCGTACTACAATTCACCCCCCTCTTGTAGTATTCTTCTAAAGTAACATAGTTACTGATTAATACTTTTTTAATAATAAATTCACTTTTTAAATGATACATTTACATAATCGGTTTTTAAATGATATAATCATATTTGATATGATATAATCACATTTAAAAAAAAAAAAGTTAAACTGTATAGCTGATAGGTAAATATGGGAGTATATATCATTTAGTCACAATAGGTTTTAACAGAAAAAGATAAATATACTACGAGGTACATATGAATTCATGGTAAGATACAATTTTGTGAAAGATATGATATACATGGAATAAATACATTTTAATAATCTTAACTATAAGCGATTTACTTCTAATAATCCCAATTAAAATTTATTTTTCAATAACTCTAACTAAATGTTCAAAAGTATAGACGTGGTGCACCTATTTTTAGGTGCACCATGGTGTACCTTAAAATTTGCGTAGGTTCGATTTTCGTATCTCGAATTTTAGCAGATTAGAACTTTTATTCGGCCTAACCGCATAAATTGGTTGAAATGGGCTTATGTTTGGGCAACACCCCAGTCTGTTCAATTATCATAAAGTGTATATGCATGTTCAAGTGCAAATTTGTTAATGGAAATTTAAAACATCATTAACTAGTAACTGTTGTAAATTTATACGAGTTACTAGTCTTACTATGGAGTAGTTACTACTATAGTACTATAATAAGTACAAAATAAGTATTTATAAAGTTACGGTTCAATTTTTATTTTATCCGTTAGTAGTAGTTAGTTAATTCGGCTATCAATAAATTTTAGAATTTCAAATTTTTTTTTTTTTGAAAGTTGGTTATCAAGATCAAGTAATAGAAAATTTCCTTTCTCGATTTTTAATTATTTATATTTTATAAATAATTCTTTGATGTGCCATACAAGTTTAGAATATTGTGTGAGTGCGCTATTACATTAGATCTAAAATGGAACGTTAGACGGAATTTGCAAATTTCATGTTCATAAAGATATCATTTTACACAATAATGTTGAGAATGAAATCGAAAGGTTGATAACAAAAAGTTACACCGTATACATTATAAAAAAGTTAAGCTAATGGATAGGTATAGGATAGGAGTATAATTTAAAAATCTATACAAGTAGATATTTATAGAAAAAGATAAATATATACATATGAATTCATGGTAAGATATACTTTTGTGAAAGATATGATTTGTGTTAGGATATAATTATGTTGTGAGATATATTTTGTGAATATATTTGTATATATCTTGTTAGGAGTTTATGGTTTGTTAGGTTAATGTTGTAAGTCTATATATATGTGTTTAATGGTAAAGGCTCATTAAGTCTAATAACTTCAAATACTGACTCAATGGTGGAAGCATTGCCGGGTTTATCGATGGATTTGTGGACAGAGATCTTAGCGAGGCTGCCGGCGAAAAGTTTAATGAGATTAAGGTGTGTTTGTAAAAGCTGGTGTTCATTAATTGATTCCTCTTATTTCAGTCCTTTTGCATCTTCAAATTTACAACAACAATCCCAAGTACGTGATAGCCATGGAATGGGACAAAACTGTAGTTTATAGTATCGACACATTCAGAAAAATTGACGAAATATTTAAAACTCCTGATAATTGTGTTGTAATATGCTGCAAAACTTATGGATTAATTTTGATGCATACGTTTAATGAAAATACGCCGGACGAGGATGAGATGGTATTTCATAATCCCTGTATTCGAAAGTCCTGGTCGATCCCCCCTTGTCCTTATATGACTTGGACACATCGGCTAGGTTTCGCTCCGTCTACTAATGATTATAAGGTTGTTGCTTTTGTTTTTGATAATTCTTCGATAGTGGTTTATTCATCAAATGCTAACCTTTGGAGGATCAAAGATAGGTCGGATGCTCACGTTCGAGGCCTTTTAAGTTTTAAAGATGGGGATGATTTATATTGTAAGGATGCTTTGTACTGGTTAGGCTTAGAAGAGGATAAACCTCCTGGCGTACATAATCATCTTGTATCGTTCGATTTTGATTCCGAGGAATTCATCTTCGTGGATTTGCCTGATGCTCTTAAACAACCAGGTCTAGTTAAAATTAATTTTGTCCTTGGTGAGTCTGTAGCAATTTTCGCTATGTCTTCTCATAGTGCCTGCATATGGGTTTTGGTCGAGGATGGTGTAGATAAGATTAAATCATGGCGGCTTTGGTATACTGGAGATTCAAATTCAAAAGCTCACCGGTTTCTTACAAGAAGTTATCGTACGGATATTTTCAATGTTGAGAAGAATACATTTATCCTATCTTTTAAAGGTTATATGTTTTCTTATAACTTCAGAAGTCACCGGATACAACATTTGGAAGATGATTATTATGACTATTTTGGCATTTATATGGAGAGCTTAGTACTGCACAAGCGAAACCAAAGGAAGATTTTGACATACCATGATGAGGATGGTGAAGAAAGAACAAAATTGGTCCGTGTTTAGACCAAATCTTTTATGGAGTACATTTAAATGATTTAATATTTTTCGTGTTAGTGTTTAATTTGCCTTTGGCTTAGCAAAAATAGAATAATAATAATAAATTCTATGATTTTCTCTTTATAATCAGGTGTTTCCCATGTATTTGGTTTAGCTTATCTTGTTAGAGTCACTGGTTTAGTTTACATAACCTTAAACATCTCAATACTACCAGTTTAATTTTCGTTGATCATCTGAATGTCTGATGAACACAAATAACGCTTACACTGATTTACACAACGGACAATATTCCGTACAATTTATATCTCGGTTGATTTCTGTATACTACGCTAATGTATGGTATAGAATGATGCATACTTGGCAAACAATTTATACCAAATAATTTCAGCTAACTTTGGTAGACTCTAGCTTTCCTACATGATTGAGAGATATTGCTGACCTTTTTATGCTCAACTGTCTCTAAAACATAATTAATCTTCAGTTCACTTCCTCACTAAAATCTTACTTAAAAAGGGAGTAATCAGACCAACTGACCAATCAGATAAAAGGTAAAATGGAACATGAGATATGAAATATGAAATATCTCATGACACACCTAACAACCCCAGGTGAAACAATGCCATATATTATCTCATCTTTATCTGTTTTTTCACAACTATCCCTCAGTGTTTCTGCTAAAAAAACAGAACATGGGGTGTAAAACATGTGTACCTTTCATCCAAAAACACGTTGCGAAAGAAAGGTATTTAGTTGCACAAGCTGAACTGAAGTTCGTGCTCTATGTTGCACTTGCTGTTCTCATGCTTTTCTGTCATGCAGGTAATGCTCCGAGCTTGTATTCTTGTAAACAAAGTATTAAAGTTATTATTCCATTTTGGTTTATGTTACTATATATAAACATTATTTTATATTTATTTTAATTACTACTTCCTACGTCCCTTAATACAAAGCCTCATTTTTTTTGGGTAAACCAAAATATAATGCCTCTTTCTATTTAAAGGTTATATTTTTTTTACATTATTACCCTTTTTTGTATTTTTAACATCAATTTCCAACACTTTTGCTCTCTATCTCTTTAATTATTCCCGACTACGTTTCTTTCTTTCTATCTCTCTCTAACCCCACATGCACATATATACTTTTAATCATTAGTTTTAAATAATTTATAACTTTCTTAATTCTCGGGCAAAAATCAAAAGCGGTTCTGTATTAAGAGATGGAGGGATTATGTAGTAAATTAAATAAAGATAATTGTTAATCAGACCAAAGATAGCATCAACCATTAAAATGAAGAGGTAAGGGGAGAGCAGATCTACTCAAAACAATACCACCTTTTTGAAATTAGGAAATAATCCCACATTTAACCCCCAATTTCTCAAAACGATCCTTTGACCAGTTTGTAAAATAATTGATAATCTGTTTTAGAAGGTGGCTTGACCAAGCCCGTCCCTGGGGCAGTGAATAAGGGGCTGCTGCCCAGCTTAATGTAAATTACTAATTACTACTTATCAGGTAGTAAATGAATATAAATGCTCTCACAGTCTTCCATAATTCTGTATAGTTTCCTTCATTAATATGATTTTCATGCATGCTCCTACAAACTCAAGTTGCATATGTCCTTAAATATTTTGATCGAAGTCGTCTATGGTCTTTCGATCTTCCCTTGCCTTTTCTAAGATCCACTTGCTACCAATCCTCAACTTTCCTTACTAGCGCGCCTTTTGATCTTTGCCTTACAAGCCTGAACCAATGTTAGTAGTTCTCTATTATCTTATCTTTAATGTTCCTAACTCCAACTATCCTCCTAATATCTTCACCTCTAACACTTTATTTGGATTAAAGGAAATGGAGGGAATGGAATTGGAGAAATGAGTAATAACTAATAATTTATAATTCATAAATCAAATAACATAATACTAAAACATACATCATGAAAACTCCCTCGAAAGATAGGGCAAAACTCTCTTGAGAGAAAGACCGTATCTCCGTCTCGAACGATACTCTCTGTCAAGAACGATCAAACTCCGACATTATGGCTAATGAGTTGGCTCAACAATACTCAACGCTAAGGTTGGAGGAGGAAAAAGGGGATCTGATAGACTTGTGTAATATTGATGGGGAGGATTCGAATGATAACATTGATCTGTTGCTGGTGGGGCGTGTGTGTACCAGTCGTCCGTATAATGTTGAGGCTTTCAAGCGAACGATGCTGAAGGTATGGAACCTCTCGAATAATTTAGTGATTAGGGTTCTTAGCCCTAATTTATTTGCTTTTCAGTTTTTTCATTGGAAAGATAGAGAAAAAATATTAAAAGGAAGACCATGGTGTTGGGAGAATCATCTACTAATTCTGAAAGAAATTGAAGGGGATGAACAACCTGATCGTGTAAAACTTAATCAATCCCCTTTCTGGGTTAGAGTGATTAATGTGTCGTTTAATTGCCGTTCGAAGGCCTATGTCAAAGCCATTACTTCGAACTTGGGAACCTTTATGGAGTTAAAGGATGATGCTTTCGGATTGGAATGATATAGGAGGGTTAGAGTGATGATAGATGTTGAAAAACCTTTGAGACGTTATCAGTGGATGAAGGATAAGAAGGGGAAGGAGGTGAAAGTGGAGTTCAAATACGAACGATTTCCATACCTGTGCTTTGCGTGTGGTATTATCGGTCATTTCGAAAAAGATTGTGCTCATGTGTTTGAGGAAGAAAAGATGCAGAAGTTGGGGTGGGGTTTATACCTTCGGGCGTCTCCGAGGAAAGGTGTATCGAAGAGGGCGGGGGAGGAACCTCTAATCTTGGCTAGAAGAAAGCAGTTGTTCATAACAAATTAAAGGAGAATGATCCCTCCTTTATGGGCACTAAATTAGGTGAGGAGAGCTCATCAGGAAAGGTTCTCACTTTGTCTAGTGGATGTGAAATGACTAATGAGGTTGTAAAGGAGGGTGGGTTCGTGCAGTGTAATGAGCAGATTATTGCCCCAATTATGAGCACAAATCCCAATAATATAGTTAAAGATGCGGGTGAATCTAGGGGGCAGTACAATGTTCCTAGAGATATGGCACCTCTTTCTTTTCAGGTGGGCTTGGCTAGTCCGAAAAAGCAAGGCAGGAAGGTCTTTAAGGAAGCGAGAACTCGAGGGAAGGGCCAAGCTGCTATGGAGACTGATGAGGGTGTTGGTGAGTTGCTCTCGGGAAAAAGAAAGGCAGGGGTGCAGTCAATAAGGGAACTTATGGAGCAGGAGGGGTACACACTGAAGAGGGTGAAAAGTATTGTGGACAATGATGAGTTGTCTGTCTTTAATTAGCCAAGTAGCGGAGGTTGGAGATGTCCAACCCCATGAAGAGCAATGAAAACCTTAATTTGGAACTGTTATGGGCTTGGCAACCCATTAACAGTTAAAGCTCCTCAAGATTGGTGTTGGATAGATAGGTCGAATATAGTTTTCGTTATGGAAACAAAAATTGATTCTCGTCGTCTTGAGTTGATTCGTAATAAATGCGGTTTTGCTAACGGAGTTTGCGTAAGTAGTAATGGAAGAACGGGTGGTTTGGGACTGTGGTGGAGGGATTTAAACATGGTGGTTGCTTCTTTTTCTGCACATCATATTGATACTAATGTCTGTGATGAGACTGGCTCCCCAATATGGAAATTCATTGGAGTTTATGGGTGGCCCGAAACGGCTAATAAACACCGTACGTGGGACCTCATGTGCGGTATTCATGCGGGCTGTACTATTCCGATGATTTTTGGTGGGGATTTCAATGAAATTCTGGGGTTACATGAGAAGAGTGGTGGGCAGCTAAGAGGTAAGAGACAAATGGATGCATTCCGGGATGCTCTTGATGAATGTGGCCTTCGTGACCTTGGTTTTAAAGGCAATATTTTCACATGGGAACGAGGACTTTCGATGGATGCTCTGGTCTTGGATGGGTGGTGCTCCCTATTCCCTTATTCTGAGTTAATTAATTTCCCCATATGTCACTCGGACCATGCTGCTGTTTTATTGAAATTTGGACAGAAAAATGAGTGCAACCGAAAAGGGAAATTATTCCGTTTTGAAGCTCTTTGGCTCTTGAATGAAGAATGCAACAAAGTTGTTTCCAATGCGTGGGTTTGTGGTGTGACCAAGCCTATACACAAGAGAATAACAAGGGTGGGTGAGGGTCTTTCTTCTTGGGCAGGACACAAACTTGGTAATATAAAGAAAAGGATAAAGAAAGCCGAAAAGAAGTTACAGGAGGCTCAAGGTGGCTGGTTTGATGCAAGTAGGTTGGCGCTTTGTATCAATATTAAAAAAGAGATCGATGAGTTGCGAAGACTTGAAGAGTCGTATTGGCATACGAGAGCAAGATCAAATGAGCTGAGAGATGGGGACAAAAATACCGAGTATTTTCACCATAAGGCGAGTCAGAGGAGGGCTAAGAATTTCATTTCAGGTTTGTATGATGATAGTGGGGTATGGAGGAAGTCGGTGGACGATATGGATGGGGTAATATCTGATTACTTTGGGTCTTTCTTCAAGCACTGATAATCCGAGTAACTTTGAGGAAGCCACTGCCGGAATTAATTCACTTGTGACCGAGGACATGTGGCAGAGTTGGAAGTAGAGCCGACGGGGGGTGAAAGTAGAGATGCTTTGTTCCAAATGCATCCAATTAAGGCTCCGAGACCGGATGGTATGCATGCCGTATTTTTTCAGAAATTTTGGGGTATCATGGTAGAGATGTGATTAATTTTGTGAAAAGTTGGTGGAGGGGGGAGATTGAATTGAGGGAGATTAACCGAACTTGCATTGTGTTGATTCCAAAGTGTAATGATCCAATGAGGATGTCGGAGTTCAGACCTATTAGTTTATGCAATGTTTTGTATAAAATTGTGTCGAAAACACTGGAAAATAAAATGAAGTATATGCTTGGTTATGTTATCTCTCCAAATCAAAGTGCTTTTGTGCTTAATCGTCTTATAACCGATAATGCACTAATTTCTTTCGAGGTATTTCATGCTATGAAGAGGAAAGGGGAAGGGAAGGAAGGATCAGTGGCTTTGAAATTAGACATGAATAAAGCTTATGATAGGGTGGAGTGGTGTTTCCTCGAGAGAGTCATGCAAAAAATGGGATTCCCGCAGTCTTGGATTGATCATATTATGCAATGTTTGGATAGTGTCTCCTTCTCTTTTAAATACAATGGTGGGATTTCTGGCTCTGTGGTTCCTACTCGGGGCCTACGGCAAGGTGATCCAATCTCTCCCTATTTATTTATGATTTGTGCCGATACTTTTTCTATGTTACTCTCAAGCACGGCCAATGAGAAAATAATCCATGGTGCTCGAATATGTAGAGGGGCCCCAAAAATTTCTCACCTATTTTTTTGCAGATGATAGTATTTTATTTGCTAAAGCTACATTGAATGAATGCTCTAAAATTGTTGATATTATCAGTGTGTATGAAAGGGCATCGAGTTAGAGTGTGAATCTGAGTAAAACTGAGGTAGCTTTTAGTAAATGTGTGTCGGCAGATCGGAGAAGGGAAATCACTGATACCCTCGGGGTGAGGGAGGTAAATAGGCATGAAAAATACCTTGGCTTACCAACGATTATAAGGAGATCAAAAAAGGATATTTTTGCTACTTTGAAGGAGAGAATCTTGAAGAAGTTACAAGGATGGTAAGAAAAGTTGTTGTCTCGTCCGGGCAAAGAAGTGCTGATCAAAGCTGTAGCGCAAGCGATTCCCACATATATGATGAGTATTTTTAGAATTCCCGATGGCTTAATTGATGAAATTCAATCGATTTTGGCCAAGTTTTGGTGGGGTTCAAAAGGGTCGGAAAGAAAGATGCACTGGCAAAAATGGGAGGCACTTTGTCTTTCAAAGTTAATGGGTGGAATGGGTTTTAGGGATTTGCGTGTGTTTAATCAAGCTCTCTTATCAAAGCAAGGATGGAGACTTTATAATAACACGGATTTTGTACTTCATGGTATCCTCAAGGCTAGATACTTTAAAAATCTGGTTTTTTGGAGGCTCCTAGGGGGTATGATCCGAGCTATAGCTGGCGGAGCATTTGGGGCGCAAAAGCTCTTCTCCTTGATGGTTTGAAGTGGAGAGTTGGGAATGGATCATCAATCAAAGTGTGGGAGGATGCATGGTTGTACGGGCAGGGCACTCATTTTGTTCCTATTCCAAAACCGGACAACAATTTAGAGCTTCGGGTTGAACAACTTATTGACATGGAAGGTGGAGGCTGGAACATTGACGTGTTGAATGAGGTCTTCTCTCATGAAGATAGACAAGCTGTATTGAATATTCCGATATCTCCAGAATTACCTAGAGACAGTCATTATTGGTGGCCTAATCCGAATGGTTTCTATTCCGTAAGGAGTGGCTATTGGCTTGGAAGATTGGGTGTGTTGAGATCATGGAAACTTGTTAATGGCACAACCGAAAAGGATATTTGGAGTGTGATTTGGAACCTAAATGGACCTCCAAAGTTGAGCCATCTTTTTTGGTGTGCGTGCAAGGGTCAGCTAGTTGTTAGTGATGTTCTCTTTAGACGTCATATCGGTGAGGCAAGCAAGTGCAAAGTCTGTGGGTGCAGCGCAGAAACAGTGATGCACTCAATGTTTGAGTGCAAGTATGCTAGAGAGATTTGGGGCTATATCGATTTTGGGGACCTCCTTCTTGCTTGTTCAAGGACAAGTTTTGCTGACATTTTGTGTCGGTTTGCAAAGAGGATAAGTAAGGAACAACTGAGGGTCTTCATGTCGCTATGCTAGGCTGCTTGGCACTGCCGCAATGAGCATATTTTTGAAGGGCCTAGGGACATCAACGCTTTAAGGATGGCTATGGGGTTCGTACAACTCTCTTTTGATTATGGGATATATAATGCGAAGCTAAAGGGTGGGGGACCGAGAACAACATGTACTTCAGCTAGTTCATGGTCTTTGCCCCCTAATGGGACAGTTAAATTAAATGTTGATGCCCATATAGTGGAGGGGGTTGGAGTTCAGTTTGGGACAGTAATTTGAGACTGCAGTGGGGTGTTGATGGTCACTATGGTCACCTGACATGGCTAAGGCTGGTGCAATGAGGTACGGGGTTGAGCTGGTGCGTAGGTTGGGCTTTGAGAAGGTTATTCTGGAAAGTGATGTGTTGTTGTTGTTCGAGTAATTCAGACGAGACAAGTAGGTGCTACTCCTATCTTTCTTCTCCTTGAGGATGTGCTGAAAATGAGTAATGACTTCTCTTTCTTTTCTTGTAATCATGTTAAATGAGCTGGGAATATGGTGGCCTATTTTGTTGCTAGATGGGATACTAGTACTTCTCCGGAACGGGTTTGAATGAGTTCTTTCCCCCAAAGCCTACAAACTTTGGTGGAGCTTGATTTAATATAATTTCGCTCGTTTGGCTTCAAAAAAAAAAAAAAAAAAAAAAAAGAATAAACACCATGAATGAACATGTGTTACTTCGCGGTGCTGTTTTTTCCCTCCAAAACTCCCCCTCCCCTTTTAGCAATTTTTTATATTTTTGGAATATTTGTATAAGACAACTATAATAATATATTATTTCTAATCTTATTATATTATCTTTATAATAATTGTATTCATTTTATTTCGTGTTCTATTTACTTATAATAGTTACACAATATTTTTGAAACCTTTTAATTATTGAGAATCTTATATATAATTTAAGAGTTGTTTTTCCAACTTTTATTCACAGCACTCCAATTTCCCATCCTTGCAATTTAAGGCCTTCTATTTTTTTTTCTTTTTTTATTTTTTTTTTTGTGAAAAGAAATAATAACTAATAACCACCTTTTTTTACTCATAACTACCCATATCACTAAATTAAAATCTAGTCCTTCTATGTTTTTTTTAATAACCAATAACCACCCTTTTTACTCATAACTTCACATCACTTAATTAAAAAAAAAAAAACCAATAACCACTCTTTACTAACTTTTACTTCTACTTTTTTTTTCCTTAAACATACATACCACATATATCCCGTGCATGAGCAAAGTTACACTCTAGTAAACTATAATTTAGAAGGTTAATATATGGTGGAGAATACAAATCTTCTAAATTTGCTCTAATTATTGTTTAATTATAATGGGAATGGTGTTAGGGGTTAGTTGTACAAGTTTGGTAATTATTAGATCAATATCCTAAGAGTTGTGAATTTTAAAAGTATGTATTTATAACTTGTAAAATTTGGACAACATGTATATGTATATGTATAGTGTGCATATTTTCGATTAAAAGACGTCTCAAGGTGTTGGTAACATACTATCTAGACCTATGAATGCTGTGGTGATTGATTTGATAATTTTTTAGTGTAAAACCATATGTGGCATCTCTGTTGATCATTAATAATTATTGATTTGAAATTTATTATTTTATCATATCCTTTGTTGATTATAAGATAGGAGCCATTGGGCTACGATTTATAAGATGGTTAGAACATGCTACCTACTTGGGCTGCATGGTTAATTGTTGTCGTCTTGGAGGTTCAGAGATGTAAAACCATATTTGACCATTCTTAGCCATAGTCTCCTGTGAGTTGATTAGAGGTTTACCTGAAAAACCTTAGAAAGTGGACTAGTGTTTGATCCTACTTTAGTCAGATTATTTTTCTATGATATAAATTATATTTTTAAATTGCTTAACATGTTTTGTTTATTTGAATTGTATGAACTTTAATAATTATTTTAATATGTTTTCATGTTCTAATTTACTAATTTACCATAGTTTCTGTTAAATAGTTTCTTTCTCATCTTTTTTTCTTTCGGTTCATGTCTTGTGACTTTGTTCTTATATGTCTTTTTTTTTTCTTACCTTGTCTTGATTCTTGCTATGTGATTTCCTTATCTTGCTTTGGGAGAACTGCTAGTTACTCGCCACTGATTGTGGGACCTAAATGTTATTTAAAAGTGAAGAGTAGGTTCTGTTGAGTCTGGGCTGAGAGCACAGTGTTTAGTTTGTTTCTTAACAGTTTTATAGACTTCCTTCTATAATCTTTAGACCTTCTCTTTTTAGGATAGTCAGATTTAAGGTTGTTCTGCCTCATGGAAATTAAAGTTTTCTATGTTCATTTATTGAGATTTTTCTCAATTTATACTAATTTATTTCCTTCAGTTTTTCGTAGCATTTAGAGTGACATTATCGTCTCGACGTTATTTCCACTAATGACTCACCTTCTATTTTAGACGAGAGGTTATAGTCATTTTAATAAAAACTGTTAAACAAAACAAAAGAAATGATCTTGATTAAAGGGCAAATTAAAGATTTTTTTTAAAATAAAAATAAAGAAAGGGCATTTTCTATTTCTTGATCTTGATAATTGACTTAACAAACTACAACAACCGGATAAACTGAAGATTAATCGACTGGTTTATATTATGGTTTGGATATTAGTAAAAACCCAGACACTAACCATTATAAATACCCTTGTACACTACCATTCTAATTCGTTTCATTTTCAACTCATTATCTCAAAATATGGAATTATGAACACCAAAAAATTTCTTAATT